CCCGCCCCCCGCCATTTCCCATCTTGTTCTACAGTCAAAAAATAATCAAAAAATTTTTTTCATAGTTGGTAAATATAAAATATAGACAGCTCTGCAGCTCAGATCTATCATGTCAAGCATGGCCAGAAGCAAATATTTATGGCAGTTTAAGTCCTTATTTTAAAAGGGTTTATATTTGTTGCACCAATAAACAATCATAACAACACTACCAGGCACTGTTATAATTAGAAAATACCAGAGGTCAGTCATCCTTTCTGCTGTGCAAGTGCATTTCCATATGATTACAAACAACAGCTGGATGTTAACAGCAAAGCAGGGATGAAAGGGAGTTATTTACATACCCAAGCATGAGGATGTCACTACAAGACCTGAATAGTCAAGCAATCACATCCCTAAGAGGATTTGTCCTTGGCAGTGTGGGATGGGACTGAAAAAAGTTCTTCAGGCACCTGGACAACCAAAGTAAAAGAAGCAAGCAAAGCAAGTCAAGAGTACTCAGCTATCCATTATGATGGGCTTAAGACCTACGCTTGTTTAAAGCTCAACATGAGATCCCCGATATCACACATGACTCGATCTTACTACATGCCATAGGAGAGATAGGTATGCCAACTGCATGGTATACTGCCTTACCTCAAGCCGAGGGAGTGACTTAGCTGCAAGCAGAAAAGTTTCTACTGCTTCACTATGATACTTTAAAGTCTTCCACTACACCTCTAAATAAGCTCAAGCATGCATAACTCTAAGTATGACATACAGACAGCACAAGATTGCAGACTCTAGGCAACTGCCTCTGCAGCCAGCAAGCGTCCAGTTCTTGTAGCTTCAAGAGATTTGCTCATTTAAGCATCCCCAGAGACAAGGCAGTTCTAATGTGGCTCTGGCATGGTCAGACAATCCTAAGGAGGATGGTGGCAGGTCTCCCTCCCACACATGCTGCTTTTCCCTTTGACCATGCTGGCTTCTTGAGCGTCCAAGGCTTAGTTCCACTGCTCTGATCTTGCCTACCCCATGGAGTTAACATAAAGGGCTGCAATCAACTTCAAGCTGAGAAACTGTAAGAAATCAGAGAGTTTCTTTTTCTAGTTGGCAGCATATATATTATACCAATAACTTCAGCAGCAGATGATCTTTTCCATCTGATGGTTGTTGCCTGCAGGATTAAATCCCCACAGACTTTGCCTGGCAAAATGAAAAGGAAAAAATCATGCCCCAATAAAGTCATTGCAGTAACACACAGTGCTTACATGCATAAGGATAAAGGTTTGTTATCTTCTTCCAATTTGCTTCCTACTGATGCAAGATTACATCTTTCTATGGGGAAGCAAAGCAGATTCAAAGTCATTTTGGTTCACCCAGGCTGACTTGACTTCAGAGACAGGGCCTGTCGTTCAGCTAAAGAGCATGCTATGGGGTTGCAGGATTAAAGCCTGGAGTTTTCACAGAGCCAATGCTTCAATCCCATTTTAAGACAGCTAATTAAGACTGAATGCATCTAACTCCAGCCTGGCAAGGCTCCAACGAAGGGAGGCAATCCCCAGGCCACATGGGGATACTCTGTGGTATATAGGGCTGGGTTTTTCTGGGGATTCCTCCCATGAGAAATTAGAGCCAGAATTCATGTATCAGCATGGATCCAATTCTATAAAAAAGTGTCCACTGCATTTTCAGATTTGACCAGCTGCTTCTGACTGGCTTCCTGCCTTCTCCCTACCAGGAACACCCTGACCATTCTCATCACTAATGGATTATCTAGTTCCTTTCTGATTAACTGTCCCAAGATCCAGAGTCTATCCACCCAGTCAATCCTCCCTACCTCCATAAAGCTTGTTGTGCTGTGCCATGCCAGATGTCACAGAACACAGCTGGGACTAAATACACCCTCAAACAGCCCACCTGGGTACCACATGCATTTGGTTACAGGAGGAAGGCAGCATGGGACCTATGGCTCCTCAGATCTGGCACTCTAATATTACCCATATGGATTGCAATGCAATCTCATCAAGGCCAAAAGCAGTTTTGCCACCACATTGCCACAGACCTGGCAGGAGCAGGGATGAATTCGAAAACCACCCAGGGGCCAAGTAACTTTTACTACAGGAGGAAATCTTTGGTATAATTCTCAAAGGTTATAAAGACTCAGTTTGTGACTGAAGCCAAAGAGAATTTTCCCACTGGAACCAAAGTGCCTGACTTTTACTTCAACCGTAATCAGGTCTGGCCCCCAGCAGACCTCAAACTGGGTGGGTAACACCTGAGCCAAGATTTAAGATCTGTAGCCTGTTAAAAGAAAATGTATGATTTCAGGTCCACAATACTGAAGAGGAACTTGCTTACACAACCAACTTCCTACTCCTTGACATATCAGTAACTCAGAGCAAATCACTCTTCTCTGCCTTGATTTCCCCAAACACGAGTGATAACAGTGATCACCCCAGTAAAGTGCTTTCTGATCTACAGATGAAAAGTAGCATAGGAACACAGTGTGGGGATTGCCAGGGGTACACAATGACATTGTAAGCAAGGAAATTGCCCTGTAGAAGACAGAACCCATGTCACAGAGAGACCCTATATTGCAGTCACTAACATTTATTGTTACAGGGAATTTGATATGGGAAGTGAGCATAACAATACCAGTCACTTCTTGAAAGCCTGGCGAGAACAAATCTGAGAACTAACACTAGCCCCCCACAGAGCTCTTTCTAGACATGAAGGTTACTTCAGGAACAAGTTCTTAGTGAGAGAAAACAAAACAATGACCACATGATGTGTTTGTGCATCCTTTAGAAAGGCAGAATGCCTTTGGTCTTCAGATCCTTTTGCTCTAAAACCAGAATCACTACTCTATGATACTTTTTTTTTTCTTTCCTTTCCTTCTTGAATGTAGGAATATGCTGGCTCCTAAGCAATGGTGGCTTTCTGCCTCATGCAGGCTGTGCAGAAGGCCTGACGGACTGAACAGTTCTCCCAACCAGGAAACAACGCAATGCAGCCTTCATACCTGGCTTATGGGTAAGAATAACAAAGAAAAGGCTTTGGTATTTCATAATACCATGTCATATATGTAACTGAGGATGTATTAGATAACAACCATCACACTGAGTATATGTGGGAGGCTAACAATTTATTCCTTGAGTTTAACCCTTGGCTGTAAAGCCAGAGCAGCATACCAGGAGAGATAGAAATTTGTGCCTTCTGAAAAACACCTGTGGGTGCACCAGTTTACCACTCACTTTGCTAGTACTTGCTATGACATGCCCTTGAATGTGAGCTTAACTATACCCTCTGGCCATACCTAAATTGGGATAACATGGTATTAAAGAAAAGTATTTGCCAACATATTTTAACAGGTAACTCAAACACAGGTTTAGACAACTCCAAATTAGTTTTATAAGACTTCTTTCTACTCAACCTTGCAGTGAGTCTGTAAAAAAGCAACCACTACATACAAGCACTCTGGTCTTAACTTTAGGTAGGTCTGCACAGCCCTAGCATAGCTAAATCCCACAGGTGACATCTCAACACTTAGCCCAAGCCTTCACACCATGCTCCAGGAGTGCTGAAGGCACTGACAAACATCCCCTCAAACCCAATGCTCACAGCCCATGCACCACACGCTACAACCCAAAGGCGACCTGATTTCCCGGGTTTGCATATGCAACTAACCCAGGATAAATCACGGGCTCCCCTAAATGCTCCTTTTGGGAGACGTGCAAGTTTCAGGTAGCAAAAATAGTGACCCTGCTTTGCATATCATGTTTGGCAGCAGGGGAGGCGGAGAAGGCACCCGGGGAGACGGGGGAAAAACCGTCCCTGCTGCTACAAGGAGGCACTGAAGGGTGAATAAACGTTTTTAAATGCGACTGTCACTTACTTATCCAGGATGAAGTAGAGATCAAAGGCACCGTGACAGGAGCGCTGCTTTTCTTGCTCTTCCTCCTCCTCCGGCCGGGCGCATGAGGTTAGGCTCCCCATTGCCAGCAAAAAGCAGCAAAAAACTGCTGCTTTCTCCACGCTGCTCCTGCAACTCGCCATCTTTTCCCTTCCTTAATTCTTCCTCCTCCTCCAGTCTCTCTCTCGCACTGCAGACCTTACGGGCTCTTCGGAAGCGCCGAAGGAAGAGGGGAAAAAAACAACAAAACAAAACAAAAAACCCACTAACTTCAGGATCTCAACTCAGCCCTGCGAGTTTAAGGCAGCTCTATCCGCCAGGAACCGGACTGCTGGCTCAGGGCTGGGGTCTGA